AATGCCTCAATATGGCCTAATCAAGGAAAATTTTAGTTATAAAAAAAAACTGTACTTAAAAAGCACTTTTAAAGATGGATACAATTTTGGTACACTCTAGCCAGGATTGAATGTGTTAGATGATATGTGAGGATCTTGTTCAATCTGAACTATCACCCCCCCTTTTTTCTCTTTTTTTACTTAAACATTGTTATGATGACTTAACTAAGAAGTTTTTCTTTGTCAGTTAATGTTGATTCCAATCCTTCATATCTGCTTTATAACATTCACTGTACTAACCCTTCTTCAAGTTGGGGTGGGGGGTAGTGACAGTTTAATTATGTGCTAAGATAAAGTCTTAGTGAAAAACAAATAAATGTTCTTTAGTTAAAAAAAAGATGGGTACAATGCACATATGTAAAGTAAAGAAACAGTATGCCCAATTATATCTTAAAAATATGAAAAATGAAGAAGAAAATATGTCCAGGTATCATCAGCGACTCCCTCTGGTTGGTGAGACTGCTAGTAGTGTTCCTCCTCTACCCTGTGCTGATCAGTGGAAAGCAAAAAACAGATTAGCAACTCGCTCTTATGACTTATTCCACTTTACTTTAGACAGTATCTAACTTGGCACCAATTTACAGTTAATTACTTTCAAGCTGAAGGCATGAATATGTTTTCAAGGAGTTACGCAAATACCTGAAATATTCAGAAACTGCACCACTTGAACAAGTCTGAGACCATTTCCTTACAAGTAAGGACCCTTCTGACTCCAAGATTGGGAATTCTGTCATCTCAGCTCACACACCCATGCAGCATTCTGCCCACCCTGCCGCTCTATCATGGCATCTTGCTTTGTTTCCTTCATATCATACATCATTGTCTGAAATAACTTTGCTTTTTTGCCACTTCTCCCCCAGACCCACCCCCGCAGAACAGACGCTCTTGGAGAGGAAGGTTTTTCTGCTTTGCCCCTCACTGTATCTCCATCATCCAGCAGACAGTGCCTTAGCAACACAGCTGGTGCTCACTGAACATTTGTTAAATAACTGTGCCCAAGTCACCTGGCACCACTCACCATTCCCAATCCTCTCCCCCAGTGGCATCCCTGCCATTGTCACTAATTTCTCCTGCACTCCCATCTCTGAAATTTAAACTATCCCCCAAAGCATTAATTAACATGAAAACCAAAGAAATGAGGAATTCAAAGCAGTAGAGGATAATCCACGATTCTCTAGGCACAAGCACCACCTCTACTCCAGCAGTGCCTGGTCTCACTGCAGCAGGGCTCGGATCCCAAGGAGCTGGGAAGTTGTCCACGTCCTCTTCTCAATGTATCCTAACCTCTCCCCACCCCACTCATTCCCTGTCACCACCTCCACGCTCCAGATGAAGACACTGAGGCTAGGCCAAATGAAGCAGACCCCCAAGTCACCCAGTTCGGAGTGGCAGACACCAAAACTGCAGCGAGAGTGAAACAGGAGCAGCACACACAAAAATGCATATGGAAGAACATCAGACAAGTTTTTGGTCCCAATGATCGTTCATACTCTTAAAAATTACTGAGGAGCCCCCCAATATGTGGGTTTATAAGAATTATGGCCGTTGAGCCCTAACCGGTTTGGCTCAGTGGATAGAGCATCGGCCTACAGACTCAAGGGTCCCAGGTTCAATTCCGGTCAGGGGCATGTACCTTGGTTGTGGGCACATACCCAGTAGGTGGTGTGCAGGAGGCAGCTGATCGATGTTTCTCTCTCATTGATGTTTCTAACTC